CGTCATACTGCAGTGACAGAAACACAATAAGTCTCTCATTTATTTTAAATTTTTAAATAGGATCCGAATCCCTGCAATTCTGAGGTCCACCACAATGTGATGTAGGAGTGTGGCTTTCCCAAGTGTGCCGCAAGCCTACGTTTGAGTGAAGGTTTCGGCCGTTAGATCGCCCCCTGGGGGCTGGCTGCAGTACAAGTCATAAAGCCCGCCTCCTCCGTGTTAATGAAGGAGACTTGAGCCCAAATAAAAAAAAATATTACACTTGCAATAAAATGTCCCGAAAGATAGTTCTGGTCGATTAAGGCACTGGTTATTGTGAAGAAATAGGTGCAGATCTTCATTTTTGTAAACAGTTTGTTTTTAGCAGTAATTTAATGCTGGGCGTGTCATCGTGATTGACAGCTGTGATTGACAGTTTCTCAAAGCGCGGCGTCTGAGCTTCGGCAGGAGACTGAAGTAGACTGAAATGTTATTATTCGATTTCTGTGTTATTTTACCATGACAAAATGAGTTCAGCAGTAAACTATAGTTTCTGACATACATGATCCTGGTGGAACACTGTTTATTCGCTAAGTTCAGGGCTTTTTTCGGGCTTTATTAGTTTGCTGATACACGCCTAGCCACCCAGATAGCAAAACACAGTTCCGGCTAGATTCTCGCCTGCCGGAGACTTATCTCTTAGAGCTCAGACTGACTAATGTTACCTCTGCTGGACCTACTCCGGATGCCTGGACTCACTACCCAATTCCAGCCCGAGTCAATCGAGCCAGATGCGGCGGCCGAGCGAGAAGGCGCTGCCGCATGCGAACCGGAATCAGCCCGCGACGCCGCGAGTAAGTTATGCGCTGCGGCCTGGAGCTGGCGCGATTGAATATATAAAACCCTCATATTTGTTAACGTTATTACATCCATTTGTGTTGATATGACAGCAAACGCATGCTGAGAAGTTCGGGGGGCGTAGTTGATTTTACATAAAGCGTTTGATTGGAAGCTCGACTCTGCTCATTTTCGCGGCTCCTCCTCTGGCTCCATCAGACAATCCTTCTGCGCATGTCTGGCTCCAATTTCAGCAGTCTTTTGCGACAGTTTGTGCCCGTCAAGCAGGCGTTTTGCCCTCAAGGCGTTCAATGGGAAAAAGGGCTGTCGCGTCGTCCATATTTTTTACAGTCATTGGGCTTTCCCCACCCACCAAATTGATTAACAGCTGCATAACAACTAGTGGTGTAACAAATCACACATCTCTTGGTTCGGATCACTCTACTGTTTTTGAGTCTTGAATCGGACCATTTTTCAGATCAGCAAAAAAGGAAGAATACAAATGTCATTTGCTTTCCATTTAAACAAAAATATTACTGCAAAAACCATTGGTTTTTAACAAGCAGAATTTAGAACCTGTAATTAAAAAATAAAAATAAAAATCAAGAAAGAACCAGCTGAAAAATAGGAAAATAATCAATACGAAATATGATCTTTAGTACTGTTGCTGATAATGCTAAAAATCTAACATTACAACTGATCATATTTATTTTCAATAACTCATTCAACTACTCACAGATAAAATTTCATGTTTTATTATACTCTAGGCCTAATTTGTGCCGAAACACGCTGGATCCGGAACCTCTGAAATCTGATTTGGTACCTCATTTTACAAATTTCCCTTCTCACTCGCCCTCCGCCCCCGTCCGCTGTTCACTTTTACTTTGTTACGCGACTCCCTAACTCTCTTCATTTTCGTCCGCGACAGCCAACCCCCGCCCTGGCTCATAACTTACGTCCGCGACACCCCTTCACTATCCGATGCTCGCTATCTCCCAGCTCTCCACTTTTGTGTGCGACACTTCTACATCCTCAGGTAGCATGCCGGATCTGTTACCCCGATCTGTAATGGGACCTCGAGATTCACAATTTAAGCACTGATTATATGGTAGGTGTATCATTTCTGAAATCCTATTCAGTAACGTAATTTTGATGGTTGTTTGTCACCATCTGTTGGTTACACAGTGTAATTGCTTTCACCAGTATCAAGTTCCCTTAAACAGTGATTTTAATCTTTACCATAAACATCAGTGTTTATATCTGAACTATAAACGGTTCTCCCAGTACTTCTGTATTATTTAATTGTTTGTAACTAACTGAAAAAGTGTAAAAACTGAATCTCTCTTGCAGAAACGCAGATTTGAATGCAGGGCTTAGAAGGATTAATAAACATATGCTAATCATTATTATCATTAAATGTTCATGTTATGCAGGTTTAAATTTTGATCACAATCTTTTAATCTTTAATTTTGCCGCTTTACACTGAATGCATTAAAGTGGGCTAAACACACAGTGACAGAAAACACCTTTAAATAATAACCTAAGAAAGCATTTAGGTCCCACCACAACTTTTTCCGTCATCATTATATTTTAAAGGAAAGCCAAAATGCTTTTTATACATGTGATTTGAATGACCCAGGAGCCGACCTCTCTGCAATTGTTATAAATTTTGGATTACCCTACAAGTTTAAAAAAAGTTATTGATCCGCAGATTGATCCATACTTAAACCCCAAATATTAACATGTCTCCATAGTAACACGTATAAACATTCACAAGACAGGACTGTAATTCATCACCACAGCCACATGCCATTACAATTATAAAAGAAGATGCTTCAATCCCTCTTTGTGGATGTTAAATCAGGTGTATTTTGTAAATTAACATATTGAATATCGATACAGGATTTATTATTATTTAATTATTTAATATCCTGCCACATTTATCATAGAAAAACAGTGCAAAGTTAAGTGTGTGCGTGTGTGCATGTGTGTGTGCGTGCGTGCGTGCGTGTGTGTGCGTGTGTGTGCATGTGTTTGTGTGTGTGTATGTGTGTGTGTGCGTGTGTGTGTGTGTGTGTGCGTGTGTGTGTGTGTGTGTGTGTGTGTGTGTGTGCACATGAACTTTATAACAACATTGTGTGTGACTCATCATTTCAGACAGGCTTTAATTAACAAATACATCAAATAACCACAAGTTCTTACTGTAGTATTTCTCATTTTTATCTGTCACTATGCTGTTTATCTAACATGAGACGAAGCAGGAAATGGACACATGCGTCAGAGCAATAGAGAGCGATCTGTGTCTCTGGCTGTGTCCGAAACCGCCTACTACTCAGGAGTTACTGCATTTGAATTTAAACGTACTACTCGGCCGTTAGAAAAAGTACGTTCTATACAGTATGAATGTGAAAAGTATGAATGGAATTTGGACGTACTACATCCACCATTTTGTCATGGTCACATGACCTACCTGCATCAGTTGCGTCGCTTTACTCTCATTCATGAATTCGCTCGCGGGGCATCATGGGATACCACAGCATGCATGGGATGCACACTCTTGAATCTCGCCGGAAGTAGCAAGTCATCCGGGTACTTCTCGCATACTGATTTTCGAATTCTATGAATTTGGACATACTACTCGTCTCACATACAGATTCTAGCGTCCTATATAGTATGGAAGTATGTGGTTTCGGACGCAGCAATTAGTACCTGGATGGGGAAACCACATAAAAAAAAACTAGGTTGCTGCCTGAAGTGGTGTTAGTTAGGCCAGCAGGGGGCGCTCAACCTGCAGTCTGTGGGTCCTAGTGCCCCAGTATATTGATGGGGATTCTATATTGCACAGTGAGCGCCGTCTTTCAGATGAGATGTTAAACCGAGGTCCTGACTCTCTGTGGTCATTAAAAATCCCAGAATGTCTTTTGAAATAAAGTAGGGGTTTAACCCCGGCATCCTGGCCAAATTTGCCTACTGGCCTCTGTCCATCGTGGCCTCTTAACCATCCCCATATCATAACTGGCTTCATTACTCTGTCTCCTCTCCACCAATCAGTTGGTGTGTGGTCTGGCTCAATATGGCTGCCGTCGCATCATCCAGGTGGATGCTACACACTGGTGGTGGATGAGGAAATTCCCTTCAAAAATGTGCAAAGTATGTTGAGTGTCCAAATGTTGGGAATTATTATTATTATTATTATTATTATTATTATTGTTATTATTATTATTATTATTATTATTTTAAATACACTTTTTAGGTCCACCAAGATTTCTCAAGTAGCCCAGAATTGAGATATAACAAGTATAATATAGCAAAAATAAAATTCTAATTTTATTAAAATTTTGATTGTTTTCATTATTTTTGATTTTTTTCCGATACCAAAAATTTCCAAACAGTTCTAAGGTTAACATGTTGATATTGTTGTCTAAAAATGTCTATGAACATGTCTCAAAAAATATCATTTTGTATTTAGAAGAAACGTCATCGGTATATTACAGAATAAAATGAAATATTAATAAAAATGAAGAGAAATATAGAGTTGGTAGTCTGAATCCTGAAATAAATAAATGATGGTTTTCAGCCTTTATAGCATTTATACAAATGATTGTTGAGTCTCAGATTGAGATTTTCAAATGCAGAAAGTAATAGTTTATGTATGTTTTACATTTATGATAATAGAAAACATGTCTTAGACTCTTAGTGAGTCTAAGAAATGTCTTAAAATCTTAGCGAGTCTTTTAAAACTCCAAACTTTTGAGCAGAAGAAAGTTTTTTTTGGCAATCTTAGGACATTGCTTAAAGGTAATATGTCAGATTTAGGATTAAGAGCTAATTAAAAAAAAGTAGCACACTACCTTTCTTTCCCTACAGTGGGATCTTTAAATAAAGATCTTGGCTATTATACAAAAATCTGCCTGAGGCCCTTTTTTTGGAAGTTGACTGGTCCACGTGAGAAAAAGGCTAATTCCATTAGAAGAAATAAGATGCTAACTAAGTTTACAGGCCACAAAAATGCAGCTGGTGTTTTTCTTTTACACGTCCTCAGGCTGCAGGAGAATAATTACACAGCAGCAGAAAGACTGATATAAAACCCTGCTCACCTTTTGTTTGTTTTCTCTTGCTCTCTCTCTGTCTCTCTCTCTCTCTCTCTCTCTCTCTCTCTCTCTCTCTCTCTCTCTCTTACTCAGATCAACCTCAGGCACGCTCTACACCCATAAACCCCACGCTAACCAGCTCCACTGAATCAGCCACGCTGCTGAGGAGAGACAGCAAGCCACACAGCAATGGGGTGAGAAACGGCACCTTCTCACGAGCTGCCTCTTCATCATCCTCATCTTCATCCACAGCCCATAAAAACCCTAAGAAGTTACAGTCGAACCCATCCATCAACAGTCAGAGGAGCAAAGGAAGCTCCAAATCCAACAGCTCCAAGATCCCCACAGAGGCCCAGGATGGTGAGACAGACTTTACTGCACAATAACAATGACTGCTTTTTCAGTTCCTTTCAATTGCAGAAAGTTTGATTGACAAAGATGAGCCTTGAAGTAGGGCTAGCTTTTAATGCATTAATGGAAATTGCTGTTTTCAATTGTGCGTGTGAACAAAACATCAAAAAAACTTGCATAGTGCAAACTTAACATTTAATGCATTGCAACAAGCTTTGTGGCATACTTTTGACATGAAAGTCTCAGCTTTCAAATTCTGCAATGTTATTGTGAAAAGCAAACAACGACTATGTCTTTTGCTATTTTCATTGTGACATGCTACATTACAACCTCAGTTTACATTAAACCACATCAGTGCAGTAGTAAACTGACCATCATTATTGGTTGGTTATAGTTAAGAATTAATACCTAAAACTGCAAAAAGATGTCAATGAACATAAATTGAACAAATGACACCTATGTTCTTTGCAATAAATGAAAAGCCCATTGAGTCCAGATCAGAACTGAATCAAATCACAACCAGCCACTTTATTAGGTACACGTTAATAGTACCAGGTTGGACCCACTTTTGCCTTCAGAACTGCCTTCATCCTTGTGGAATAGATTCAACAAGACATTGGAAATAGTCCTCAGAGATTTTGGTCCATATTGACTTGATAGCATCACGCAGTTGCTGCAGATTTGTTGGCTGGACATCCATGATGCGAATCTCTCATTCCACCACATCTCAAAGGCGCACAGTTGGATTGAGATCTGTTGAATGTGGAGGCCATTTGAGTACAGTGAAGTCATTGTCCTTTTCAAGAAACAAGTCTAAGATGATTTGCGCTTTATGACATGGTGCGTTTTCCTGCTGGAAATAGCCATCAGAAGATGGACATGGCCAGCAACAATATTCGGGTAGGCTGTGGCCTTGACACAATGGCAGGGTTCGTACGGTTGCTGGAAATCATGTAAAATGCTGGATTTTTAATATAGTGTTTTCAAGCTTAGAGAAGAATGCATATTCACACTCAAAAACGCCAAACGCAGCGCTCAGCAGTTTTGTATATGTACACACACACACACACACGCAAACGCACACATAAACACACACACACACACACATATATATATATATATATATATATATATATATATATATATATTAGTGCTGTCAATCAATTAAAAAAAATTAACTAATTAATCGCACCTTTTTAAAAAAATTAATCGTGATTAATCGCATTTAAAATACTGAAACTTGTAATTTTGGCTATTTAAATGTAAAATTAATGTAAACGCAAGACAAAAAATATTTAATATAAATTCAAAATATAATTGTTTAATAGAACTTTTGTTTAACTTGTAACACAGATTTCTTCATGTAAACAATATACCCACAATAAACCATCAAGATCCTGGCTTGACAGCCATATTTATTACAGAAATTAAAAAACAGGCATGTTAATGACATTTAAATTTCAAAACAATCAATGCCAATAAAGAAAATATTGATTTCCATGTTGGATTTTAAGTGGACTGCAAAAAAATGCCAAAATACAGGAATTGCAGATATGGAAAATGAAAAATTATAATAATAAACTATAGAATACAAACTGTTGCACTCATTGTAAAGTTTTATTGCTGTGAGTTGAGAACATTAATTATAGAGTAGAAACAATTTTGCTTAATCCTCCTTTACATTCATCCAGTTGCTAAGACTAGGGGTATCCCGCAAGTGCACAGAGACTCCCAAATGCCCGCAAATGAATGATAATTTCTTGCAAACCGGTCGTTAAATACATTACACACCCGTCGCGATACGATACGTCGCTCACTCCACCCCTGACATCCCTCAACGGGCCTGACACAGACACACACACATACACAGACACACACACACAACGCGCTGCAGACGTTTTGGCCCCAACGGCCTTCCATACTGGAGCGACTCCCCTCAGATTCAACACGCATGATCACGTTCATCAAATTTGCGAAGCATACGCTTTCGTTGCGTTTAATGAGAAAACACGGTAAACTTGGAGGGCGCATGCTGCAAGGCAGAGTAATGCCCTGTCTTTGACAGCTCGCGACTTCACCAGAGACGTTCTGAGTACATTTACATAAGACACCAATACTCCGATTTTATTATGAAGATTATACTTGTTTTATACTGGAACTTGCCTTCAAAAAGTGCTTCCTTGGTCTTATCCACATTTATTGCATGTTGAACATATGTCCACCACAACAGGAAGTAAAAAAAACCTGCAACTGCGTTAATTGCGTTAATTTTTTTTAACGCGTTAATTATTTAAAATTAATCGCATGCGTTAACGCACTAATTTTGACAGCGCTTATACATATATATATATATATATATATATATATATATATATATATATATATATATATATATATATATATATATATATATATATCCAGAGAGTCTTATTTGTTTTATTTTGGCGAGAATAAAAGCAGTTTTTAATTTTTTAAACACCATTTTAGGGACAAAATTATTAGCCCCTTTAAGCTCTATTTTATTTCAATAGTCCACAGAACAAACCATCGTTATACAATAACTTGCCTGATTATCCTAATTAACCTAGTTAAGCCTTTAAATGTCACTTTAAGCTGTATAGAAGTGTTTTTAAAAATATCTAGTCAAATATTATTTACTGTCATCATGGCAAAGATCAAATAAATCAGTTATTAGAAATGAGTTATTAAAACTATTATGTTTAGAAATGTGTTGAAAAATCTTCTCTCTGTTAAACAGAAATTGGAAACAGAAATTACCAGGGGGACTAATAGTTCAGGGGGGCTAATAATTCTGTCTTCAACTGTATAGATACACACACACACACACACACACACACTAAGCACAATAGTCATTATTAATTGTGAACATTTTGAGCAAAATTATTTTTATTATTATTTCTTCAGTTATCATGCAACCCTAATGTGAATTACTTTTGCCTTTCTATCAGGGGCATTCTTCCCTTGACCTCTGGCATCAACGAGACCTTTGCGCCCACAGAACTTACTGGATATTTTTTTCTCTTTCAGACCATACTCTGTAAACTCTAGAGATGGTTGTGCATGAAAATCCCAGTAGATCAGCAGTTTCTGAAATACTCAGCTCTGCCCATCTGGCACTAACAACCATGCAACATTCAAAGTCACTTAAATCACTTTTCTGCCCCATTCTGTTGCTCGCTTTGAACTGCAGCAGATTGTCTTGACCATGTCTACATGCTTAAATGCACTGAGTTCCTGCCCTGTGATTGGCTTAATAGAAATTTGCGTTAACTAGCAGTTGGACAAGTGTACCTAATAAAGTGACCAGTGAGCATGTATGAATATAATTACTGTTATTACCCAGCCCTACTAGCCAGTGGGATTTTGGTAGCATTTATTTTACATGTACATACTATGCACTTATTGCTACAACAAGGTACTAACCCTGAACCTAACCTTAACCAATGTTATATTACCCAGTACCCAGTCAAATACATCGTAAGTGCATGTATGTACACATACTGTAAAATAAGTGAGATTGTTGTGGGGACTAACTTTCCGTGCTGTGTCCAGATTGCTGTGTCCACTGCATCCTGGCCTGCCTGTTCTGCGAGTTCCTCACACTGTGCAACATCGTGCTGGACTGCGCCACGTGTGGCTCCTGCGCATCAGACGACTCCTGCTTCTGCTGCTGCTGTGCTTCAGAGGAATGCGGCGACTGTGACCTGCCCTGTGACATGGACTGCGGAATCATCGACGCCTGCTGCGAGTCTGCAGACTGTCTGGAGATCTGCATGGAGTGCTGCGGCCTTTGTTTCTCCTCCTGAGACTGATCTGAGACCTGAGGAGAAACGAGCAGACAATGACAGACGCAAACCTAGCTGTGAGTTACAGTCAGGTAGCTTTCTTATGAGGTTAGTGGTCCAACACTAGTGGTGTTATTCTGAAATAGTCGTATACATGCTTATGAATTTCTTCTGGAATGGTTTCTGCTTTAATGTGCTTTGTTGAGTCTACATTGGCGTGACGCTGAATACAAACACATCGACTGAGGAAAAACTAAAATCATCTAAGCGCCAAGCTTTTGATAAAAGCACAATCGACAGGCACCCAGTGGTTTACAAATTCCACAATAATGCACGCCGGAAAAGAGCTTGAACAATGCAGTATCATTAAAAAGCCTCTCAAGGAAGACTAATCCAAAGATCACATACACAGTCAACACTATTTTGTAATGTTAATCCCAAATATCACCTCTCAGTACGCACACTTACTGTAGTACACTGGTGTAGTCCTTTGAGGATTACAAAAGCCATAAACTGTGAGTGTGAAACTCATAGATGTATGCGAGCGGGAGAACGACGTGTGTATTTAATATATGGTGCCATGCTACAGTTGTATTTTAGATTGTATATAAACGTGAAGAGAATCCTGTCCGTCTCCACATTTGCTCTTGTGATGTTCGTATTCTTATTTTTCTGTCGTTTTTCACTTCATTAAGCAGTCTTACTCGTACTGGAATCATACTGTAAACGGTTGTGAATTGCTCCCATATTTTTTCCCCAATGTGAAATGTCTGCCTTGTAATTCCAAAACTTTCCATTTAAAGAAGTGTGTGTGTGAATCTAAATGTTTGATTATCTATCTACCTATTGTTTATGTAGTAAATGCCTAGCATTAGCAGTATTATTTTATCCTTTGCAAAAAAAAGTCAGGTTTCTTTACAGCCAGGTTCAGACTACATGATGATATTTTAATCCACGACCCATTTGATGTTGGTGAATTCTTGCTAAAGCATAAACAACAATAAGCACATATTTGATCTTGTCTCTGGGGTCAGTTCTTATGCTAATTACTCTGTTAGCTGCATTTGATTATTGATGCAAAATTCAAACCTGCTTGGGAGCTGCTTATTTTATATCAACAGCATTAGATTGTCATTTCAAGCTGGTGATACTTGATGTAGCAGTGGCTGATTTTTAAAAATATTTTATATATATATATATATATATATTTATATATATATATATATATATTTATATATATATATATATATATATATATATATATATATATATATATATATATATATATATATATATATATATATATAAATTTTTTTTTTTTAATACAAGTGTACTGTTGACTAATGTGCTCTACTTTTAAAATACTAATATGGACCTTTTAGGCTGCATGGTTTAAGTGACTCAATTCTGGGGTTTTTTTCCTCCCATGTGGCATAGATATGGCTCGTGTACATACGTGTAAGCAGGAAAAAATGACATGGATTCTGATTTACTCAAGTTAGATTCAGGTCTAGTTCATATGTGAAAGTCTATCCGATATGAATCGGATCTGTGCCATTATGTCTGCTGTGTAAGCAGGTAGATCAGATTTTCCCCAACATGACAAGACAACATGACAACAAAAGTCATCATTAAAAATCATTGTGAATGACATCAACTCTGATGCTGTAATTTCATAACCGACTTCAGCAGTCCCAAACCTTAAATCTCATATATTAGGGCAAAAAAAGCTTTTATATTGACATATAGCACAATTATTTAAGCATGTTAATAAGAGAGAGTAAGCGCAACATCCGCCACGTAACCAATATAAACTAATATAAAACTGTGGCATAAGTATAAATCGTGCCATGGACATTACATTAAGATGCATACTGTTTTAAAAAGGCCTACATTAAAAGAAGATGGCCAAATGAGAACTTTCTGTCATAAACTGTAGCAAAACTACTTGTCAAAAATAAATAAATAAACAAAATAAACCCTGTGAACACATTAAATACAGGAATGAAGAAAAGTGCGCTCTTTTATTATCAGCTGTCAGTCAGCGCCCGCTTTTTTTTTTTCTGGTCATTGAGTCTTTGCCATGTGCAGTGTAAATGCCGACAATCAGTTAAGAGTCATTTTTAAAAAGATGATGTAAGCAAGTCAGCAAAAATATTGGATACAGTCACAAAATTGGAATTGACCATCAAGATCTGCGGTGTAAATGCAGACTTATATACAAATGTGTACTTTGAAAAGCTATCGCCTCAGCTTAGTACAGTTTCGAATAGTTTATTAATAGACATGGCCAATATTCTCATTGATAGTGTATTTTTTTTGTGAAGGAATAATTTTATAATTTATGTAGGTCATGTAAATGCAATATTGACTGCTAATATGCGAGTGCGAGTGATCAAAATGCTTTATGAATGCAAAATGTCTTTTTATGGGTTATGACATTTAAATGCTTGAATATTGTCATTGAAAATCCATTGTAAAGAGTTAAATAAATTGCTAAATGCTATATTTTTAACACACGCTAGGTTATTTCCAGCACAACAAATGTGAAAAGTTACAATTTCAAATTTTGCTAATATGGCTGATAATTGGGAATTTTAGTCTTACCATCAGCCAATCGCTGCTTTGCCAATCATGATTGTGAGGATCAATAGATCTGTCCTTCACAGCAAACACAAGCACACAAAGCAAATATCAGATCAATTCATGCAGATATTTTAATCTGATTCTCAAATTTGTTTGAAGAACCAAATTAGCCAAATATCAGTTATTAAGATTAAAAGATCCAGAATCTGCCAACTTAAATTAGGTTGTTTAAGCATGGTTCTGACCCCTATGACTGTGCCATAGTGGATGACAATCAACCCCATGTCTTGGATGCTTCACAGCAGCATTATTTTATTTATTTTTTGACGCTGACCAATAGGAGCTCTTAAGTACTGTATGGAGCTTTTAGATTTGGTGAAACAAGAGAGACGATATTGTCATAACGTAAATTGTCTGGCTTTCTTCTTTTTTTCCTGACAGAAAAGACAGCCAGTATGAAACTCGCCACTTTGTTAGCCATTGTTTGTTTATACTTATTTCCCGTACATGCTTCCTAATGACAACATGCAATGACTGGTTAGGAAGTGATGCGTAGTCTGACTACAACATCAATTTAGAAGTAAAAATGTCTTATGAGTGAATATTGTACAAGTGTAGTCTGAACCAGGCTGAAAATCTAAATCACATATTACCCATACATATTCATCTCTCAGAAAGATGGTGAAAAGCAATGCTTTCATTTCAACTGTTTACATTTAAGGATGTTTCTATTCTAGCTTGCAATAAACTGGTGGTAAACTAAATATATTTTAACTGGACATGTGTACAACAATGGAATAAAAAAACAGGAGAAAAGAAATCTGTCTGCGTCCTGTTTGGTGATGTTGAATAATTTTTTTTTCATCAAATAACTCACATTTTATTATCTATTTGTTTTTTGTTTATGAAACCTAGAAGCAGCAAATGCAGAATAGATTAGCATGGAAGCTCATAACCAGTTAGAAAATGGTACTTTAGTATACTTTAAATTATTCTGTTCATGAAATAAGGATACTTGAGCAAAAAAAACTGATATATTGGTTGTTTCATGCTGTTTTTTTTTATTATACATACCTAAATCCCATCATCCACATTGCCGTCATCATAGCATTTGTTCTGCATAACCCTTATATTTTGGGTTTATTTTGTAATTAGCTGTGTGAAGCTGTGTGATAAAAACTGCTGTTTGGACAGGCATCGCCTCTAACCTCTTTTCTGTTGCCCAGGAAAGCTCTGCAAGGCTCGGGCAACAGAAAACACTGCGGTTTAATAGGCTCTTAAAGGGCTGCCAAAGTCGTTGAAGAGGAATGTCTGTTTGAGGCAACAGTGCAATGTGTGATAAGACCTTCTCAGTTACATCTCCTGCTCACTATGCATTTCACCTTCTCTCTCTCTCTCTCTCGCTCTCTTCCTGTTTTTCTCTTTCTTTCAAGTCTATAAATATGGTTCTAGCTGGCTGTGGGTGGTGGATTCTATCCCTGGTCAAGTCTCAACCACACAGGTCTATAGATAGGTAGATGACAGTTTTAACCTGGTGGTCAGAGGCACTCTGGTCTCGAAATGTTAGCAAGAAACAGAGGCAGCATTGAAGCCAGGCAAGAGGCTAAAGTCTTCCTGAATCTCAAAAATTTAAAGAATGACAATTATTGTTTATCATTATCATGTATTCTTCCTTGGTTGTTTTAAACTTTTGAGTTTCTTTTGTTGAACACAAAATAAATATTTTGAAAAAGGCTGCATACTGGCATTCATCGACTTCCTTAGTAGGAAAAAACAAATACTATGGAAGTCAATAGGCTACCAGCATTTTACAAAAATTCTACTTTGGTGTTAAAGAAAGTTACTTAAAGTTTTGAACAAGTGAACTGTGAGTAAATGATGACTCAATGATGACATTATTTAAGCCAACAAGAATCAATGACATCACTGAGCACATCAGTTCCTCGTCAGATTTTCTGTCCAATCAAATGCCCTGTAGTATTTGCAATCTATAGTGTCTTATAAGATGCAGCTGTCATTGTATTAAATGCACAGTGCATCCCATATAAAAACAGTGAAGTCTGTAATTATAAGGTATAATCACATCCCTCAATGACCTCCTGAATGAAGCAGCAAAACAGCTCATTCTCAAGCATAGTAAACACTAAAGGCAAAGCAGCAAGCAAAGAGTGAGAAGGCCAAAAAATCCCAGAGAATAAAATAAAGTCGACGCACTCTCAAAAATGAAAAAGACACAAGTGAAATGAAGAGACATGCAATTAATTGAAAAAAGGTAAATGTTTCAGTCACATGTTGACCATTGTCAATGGCGAGCTAACGGTGTAAGAACTGGAAGCTATCTTAATTTAAGATGTCACATGATGATTCAGTAGATCACTTGAGTGGTACGATACGGTACGGGTCACCTTTATCAGGCTTGCGTTTCCACTGCCAAAAGGGTACCAATGCTTGCGGTTTTAGACAGCTTTGGTAACAACTACGGTGCACAGAGTAGATTCTACTCTTCTTCTTGGCTTTGTGGTTGTTTATTAAGACAACGACAAGGTTTGTTTGAGCTCAGGTTGACCATGGCTTATTATATGTATATAGGATTAAGATGTAATGTCTCGGCTGTGTGTTTAAAAATAGAGCTCTCTTTGTTTTCATTCTCCTGCCCTGTGTTTACGCGCTATTGACGCTTCTCTGTAAGCCAATAGCGTTCAGCTGTGCATCTAGCTCCAACTTTTGGTACTCTTTTGTCTTGCTTGGTACCCTTTAGAAAGAGTACCCAAACTGTGTACCTAATTTTTGGTACCTTTTGACAGAGGAAACAGCCATAAAATCCTACCGAACTGTATCGTACCGAATCACTCAGTGGAAACGGGTAAAATAGACCAAGCAGAGACGCCACTGAAGGCACCAATGATGATGACGGTTATCCTTACTGCAGAAATTACGCTTGTGCTTCACTTTAAAATGAAACATGAGAATGAGGAAGTAATTCTGCATTGATACAATGAATGCCATGATCATATGAATGTAAGACTTGCTGTTCTGATTTAAGACCTTAGTTTAAGACTTTTTAAGACCTGCAGAAACCCTGTAATAACCGGGAACCAAATAAAGTGGTGAACAGACCACTTCGATAATTATTATTTGTAGCAATGAGAGGAAGAAAACCTAAAAATATCAGATCATTGTTTACATTTACAGGTGGCAGGAAGGTCCAAAGACATACTGTAGGTGAATTAAGTAAACTATATTGCCCATAGTGTATGTGTGTTTCCTAGCAATTGGTTGCAGCTGGAAGGATATCCGACGCCGCTTAAAACATATGCTGAGATAGTTGGCAGTTCCTTCCACTGGGGGGACCATTGATAAATAAGGGACTAAGCCGAAGGAAAATTAATGTTTACATTTACACTCAAGCACAATGCATTTGCACATACTCAGCATACAGGCAACTAGGGTTCCTTAAACAACTTGTGAATGGCACATAGTGCACTATATAGAGGGTAAATGATTGAGACACAGAAAATGTGCTTTCTATTGAGAATGAAGTCTTGTATCACCTTAATGTCACGTGAAACACCAAAACTTACACACTCACAAAGTCTTCTCTGTAGCACAGAGCGGTCATACAGTATGTGCAGACTACAAATCATATAAGA